GGAAATTCCAGACATCTAGGAAGCATGACCCAGGAGTTACATCCTTGTTCCCTGTGTGGCATGACAGAACAGCTCTAGGCTTGTTCCTTTGCCTTAGCTTCCTTTTACTTTGCTGATTAACCTCAGTTTTAAGCTTTACTCTCCTTAAATGACTTACCTAACTCCTCTGCCCACTGTCCCACCATGGCCACAAACGCTGCCAGCACATTGCCCCCGTTCAGTGATGCTGCCACTGCCAGGTAGTCACCATTGAAGTAGGGAAAATAAGCAACAGCTGAGGAAGGATCTGGTGTCTCTGGAGGCTGGAAGCCCAGGGGCATGGAGATGGTCAGCTGAGCAGAGGTGCTGATATTGAGAACTAGAACACAAAAGGAAAAAAACCCCATGTTTTATTAGGCCACCCTGAAAGAGGACAAGGAGAAAACCAAGTCAGATAGCAAAATGATCATACCTGCATCAGTCCTCTCAGTCAGACAGGAATAAACAGAGCATTGGAAATCTCCCAGAGCAACTCCTACTTTGGCTCCTTTGGGTATTCCATGCCATGCACAGGTTGTCCTGCCTGCAACGCTGCCAGGGTCTCCCACCTCAGGAAGCAAGTGAACAGGAAAGCCAGATTTTTCCAATCTGTAACCAGAACACCATTATGAAAGAAAGCAGTATGGGAATGTGTGGAATGACTACAAAGACCTCTTTGAAGTCACAGATGAACGTGGCCATACACTTGTGGCTGCTGGATTTATGGATGCTTTCACCTATTGAGAAAGCTTTTGCCTTGGAGAGGGGCAGCATTCCAGTTCAATGGGATGGGTCAACTGGAATAGTCTAGCAGAATAAATAGCTTTCTTTTATTATTCAGTACCTAAGATTATACAGTTCATGTTCAGCAAGTTTAACCCACTGATGTTGTATGGCCAAGCAGTTTCAGGGTAAAGGGACAATCACAAAACCAGCAAAAAACACAGCTAAGTGTCAAAGAACTTTAGCTGTCATGCAGTTAGTGGTTCACAACCAAATCACAGAGAGTTAAGTCCAACAAACTCCTTAGCAATCAGCTGCAAGATACACTACAGTGCAACAACCACATTAGTAAAAGTTCAGATGACCAAATGCAAGTTTCTGTCACTCTTTCATACCTTGCTGAGAAGATCTTTCACCTTGGAGTCCTGGCCTAACCTAAGCCCTGAAATATGTAAGGCCTTAGCACTCAGCCCTGAAAGAGCAAATCATTAAAATAAGTAAATGAATAAACTGATTTTCTGTAGCCTAATAAATCTTAAGTATTATCACAAGTAAGTCTTAGTAGCTATGAAGGAGCTCAGCTCAAAAAAACTAGATTGATAACTGGTTTTTTACCATGGCAGAGGGAACACCTCAGCTGCAGCATGGATTTGGACATCCCAGCCCACCACAGAAAAGGAGAGAACAGTTTGGTCTACAAGGACTCACTGAGGAGTCTCAGCTCTGCTGCTGTTAGGTGTTTCCAAAAGTACTGCACCAGATTTTCCATCATTTAAACAGAGGCACCTTACAAACTGAGCAAACTCTCAACAGTTCTTCAGTACAGGCCACAAAGGATCAGAAGCAAGTTTCAATCTCTTTTTTTCTGTAGCTCAGTGAAACTCAGGGCCCACAGAGGAGTTCACATTGCCTAACACAAGCAATGCACAAACCCACTGACTGTCCTTGGCACTTACATGTCAGTATTCCAGCTTTTGGTTCTGGAATTAAAATATCCCCAGCTGGCAGCATTCTGGATGGACATGAGTGGCTTCTTCAGGTCACACAACATGGCAACCACATAGTCCTGGATAGTTCCAGCTGCATCATAAGCCTTCAGAAAATCTGGACTTTTAAACAAGACAGTTGGAAAACAAAACCAATGAGAAGTGCTTTAAGGCAGTAGGAGCAAAGCTACTTCCATTGCTATGGGAACTCTAAAAACTGAACAGCCACTTGAGCGATCAACCTGCATTTTGTTGGTTTGCTTTGTTTTTTTTAAATGGAAT